TGATGCTGTTGCGGTAGTTGTAGTTCCTAACACTAGAAATTGTTACTTTAAGTGATCAATGTATCAACATTTTGTTTGTTTTCAGCTGAAAGTCTTTTTCCTCGTACTTCAGGCTTTGGTCTGCCTGACATTGCTTCGGCAGAACTCTATCACGATGAATCATGCTTTGCTGTGCAGTCAAGTCCAGCTCTTTCTTACCTACATAAGTCCTCGTTCACTATGCCAAGACGATCTCAGGTAGTTGACTAATTTCTTCTGTAAACTCAGCGTTGTAATTATTTTKCTTTGTCAGTTTTTTTGGTTCTTGTTTTCTTGTTGGTTTTGTTATTTTTSTTGTGTTCTATATTTGCTTTATTTCTGTTGYCTATCTCGGTATCAATTTTCTTGTCGTTTCTGCTGTTTTCTTTCCGTTGACTGTTACTCTCCAACTTCTTYCATGGCCACCGTTCCTGTTGTCTTTTGTCGAAATTATGATCGAAAGAGTTTTTTTTGTAGTAATTGTTGACATAATTGCCCCTCAGGTGTGCTCAACGACTTCTCTTCCTCTGGTGTTATCACAAATACCTGACGTAGCATCCTCGTCAAACTCTTCAACGTTGTCTGCTGCAGTCAACGAAAACGTATCCTGACAATAGTGTAATATAGAGTATTTTATAGAAACTATAAAGAATATGGAGAGTCTATAGTAATACAAAAAAAACTCTTCATAAAGAACCCTAGGTGTAGTCTCCTCTGCAGGCGTTATTTGGCCTGGGAATGAGGTAAATAACGTCTGCGGCAGAATAGTAGCTTCTGTTTATTTGGATTGAGGGAAAGGTTTAATGATGAAAATAGAGTTTGATATTCACCTAAATGAATACACTTTCTAAAATATTTAGGATACTACGCGCGCTGTGATTGGTCGAAAACCATGTTTGATTACAGTATCAAAACACGCTCGCGCGCGTCAAAAATTTCTTCCGCTACGCGTCGTGGTTTCCTACGCTTCTCTCGTGCTCTCCCTACATCCCGCGTGTTTTGATCAGAGTATCAAACACGGAATTTCGTCTTTTATTCCTTAAATAATATGGTGACTTTTACCTCCAAAAAGCTGCTGTTTTTATAATAGGCCAAATCATTCGAAACGATCATTATTATTACATATAGGGGTATTGATGATCGATTATTGACAATTACTTATACAAGTAGTCGTTTACGGAGCGTCTACGTGTGTGGTAATTAGCCTGAAATTAAGTACGCTTGTCCCTGTATTTTGTTTTTGTTCGCGTACCAGCAGCAAAATAGAGGTAATTAAGGGGTAAACCTCCTGTCTGTCTGTATGCTAAATTGAAATCATGCCTTAGTACTTCAAATATGGATGACCATTTGCTGTTCATTAACCGCGAAGGAATTTTTACCGAAGCGAATAAGCGTTTCAACAAAGTGGCGTTAATTGATATTGATATTGTCTTTTTATTGATATTGTAATTCCTCGACAGAGAAACCTTATTCCGAATAACGCCAGAGAGTACAAATATCATACACATGCAGGAACATCTTTTTTTACCACACAATATTTTTTATTACGTAGTAAAGTGGTAAATCGAAAGGCGTTCACAATAACATGACTTCGTAATATAAATTATYTAAAAAACATAGGGTCGCTTTTACGAAGGATAGTTCATCATGGCATGGAATATATGAAGTTGAATATATGCTGAAAGAATATAGATGTCAAAGATTGTTACTTTCTATATGGTTAATGAACAGCATATTCATAAAGTCACTAGGACGCGAGCAAACGCTCTAAGAGCGTGTGCTTTGTTTCAAATAGGTCGGGTAAATCAAACGAAAGTTACTCTAGCGGTTCTAAAGAGTATATTTATTGGAAATAAATGTATATTACAGGATAAATGGTTGTAAAATGAAATTCATTGGTAAAGGTTTTGTATTCTTGCAGACATAACTGTACTCAGGGTTTAACAAACGTTTTAATTAATTACTAGCGTCGTACTTAAAAAAAAATCAAATTAGATTGACGCAAATAGTTAAGTTTAGCAGGCAACCTTGTGCTAAATGCATCGATCCAAAAACTCTTCTTATCAATAATGAATTGAAAACGTTCATGTGTGGTACGCCTCAGAGTCTACTTAATAGCCACACACGTATCAAATTATCCGTCCATCGAACAGCATTAATTAAACGGCGTACTTTATACGTATGTTAAATTGAAAGAATTGACTTCGACATGTGTTAAGTACGACGTTAGGCCCAACAAGTGCTTTTAGTCGRCATGTTTCTTCTGCCACATCGTGCATCCGGGAATCTTTGCGTGATTCGCATCCGAAAAATCGTCATCTTTAATTTTGARCCAATCAGAAAACAACTTTCAAAGACAGACCATTTTTAAAACAAACGATGATCGCAAAGGATCTCGGATCCAAGTGGGTCTTTTTTTTTACTGTCAAAATCAGTAAGCATTTCATCATGGCGGAAACTCAATCCAAATCAATCCAAAGCCTTCTAAAAGATATTTTCAAAATCATTGTTCCATTGGACTGTCTCGTCGTGGCTGACTGTTTTTCTTAGTTTTTCTTGTGACTTTTTTCGTTGTTTCATCAAAGTAGAATCAATACTTAAAGTTTTATAAGCTTTTTTCCTTTTTCTTCCATAAGAGCTTAATTGTCTTGGAAAACTTTGCGTTTTCCCGTTTGGTGTTTCATAACCATTTTTAAACTCTGAAGCTAGTGACTCCTTTTTTGTAGACGTTTGCCTTGCAGTACTTGAGAGGTTTTGATCTGCATTTTCGATGGTTTTGTCGGAGGAGTTAAATTGCTCTTCGGTGATATTTATCTCATTTATTGTCAAGAGTTTACAATTATCTTTCGACTCGTAAGCGTTATCATTGTGTTCACGGACTGCATTGGCTCTGAATTTCTTCGTCCAATCGAGCTGGTTTTCGGGGGGTTGGGAGGAGCCGTCTGCGTCCCCCGTTTGTAGAACGTATGACTCTTTTTTCCTTTCCCGCACGGCTTCTCTTCTCTCTGCTGACTTTCTAGACACGACTTTAACAGAGCCTTTAAAAAGCGACTTGCATCCATCTCTAAATCTCTTATTAAAGAACGAGTAGATAAAAGGGTTGTAGATCGAGTTTGAAAGACCAATTGCGTACAGTGTCAAGCGTGCGTAGCTAATTCGTTTAGGACCTCCAAGTAACGACTCCAGCACYCCTACATATATTATCARCGGTAACCACGTRGCCACAAACACCAAGATGACAGTTAAAAACATCTTGATGACTTTCTTTCTGGATCTTTGCATAGAAGCTTCGGGACGGGATGTTCTTAGCTTATCCCCTCGCCTCCATACCGAAAACGATATTTTAGTGTACAGTACAAGTAATGTTATCAACGGAATCACGTAGCCAAAGAACGCAAGTCCTACCACATAGATTAGTCCTAGTTTGGTAGATACAGGTATAGTGGCGCAGTAAGACCCAGTTTTGTTTAAGTGTGGTATCGGGTAATGTTGTATATTCGTAAGGTATACACTTGGGGAAACCACAACCACGGAGTATAACCACGCCCCAAAGATCAACTTGTTCGCTGTCCGATAAGTCATTCCGCGAAGAGGGTGCACAATGGCCTGATGTCGGTTGATTCCAATTGTTATCAGAAGCATAATCGTCCCTATCGGTGCGAGATACTGCAGGAATCGTGCTATTTTACACACAACCACGTGGTTGCTTTTCTCGGGATAAAAGTTAAGAGCCAAAAACAATGGTATGCAAATTGAACAAACAATAAGATCACCGATGGCGAGGTGAAGGATAAATCGATTCATCACCGATCGTAGCTTACGAGCTTTGGAGATTATAATGACCAGAAGAAGGTTACCTAAAAATCCTACAGCTGCTGCTAGACCCAAACAAATTAAAGTTCCATAAGTGAACGAATCGCTGTATTGATACTCAATATTGCTGGTGGCGTTCGGCATGGTTTCCGCGAGCCCCTTATTAAGCGTTCAGAAATTTTCTACACCTCAGTAGTATTCCTGAAATAAAACAAGATTTGTAAGTGCTCAATCGGACAAATGAATCTGTAACACGTATTCTCCGATAAGATKCTTAAAAATTCAATGTTTCCTAATTGCATAATCATGAAATTTTAATACTTCAAAAATATTGCGCACAATGCAAAGCGTTTTCTTCTCTTAGCGCCATCATAGCACATGCCATATAAACTCAATTATCTAAAGAATCTTGCAAATACGATTCCGAAGACGATGATTGACCGTTTCTGATTTATTAACAAGTCAATATTGTGCTCATTTGGTTATCGTAACTCAGTCCTGAATATTCATACTAAGCAAATAATTATAAAAACGTTTTACCTCTTTAAGACGACCAATTTTCACGCATAAACTTTTCCGTCTAAACGTCTATGATGACATGTGTTGCTTGCAAAAGATTATCCTGGCAAGATGTCAACCTATAAGACTTTCGCTTTCGTGTTCTGGGCTAAAATGAGGGTTTTTTTATCGAGCTTAATCTGAATATTTGATTCTTTGGTCCAGAATCAGTGACTGAAACGGTCTCGAGAGAGTGACTAAGAATCGATGAACAAGAGATTCAGTAKATTTGATGCTGTTGCAACCAACCTTAAATCGTAGTCAAGTAACTTGATTCTTGATCTTAAGTCAGGAAATACGTTGGTCATTAGACCGTCTTGACGAAACAAAGCTCTGAGCTGACACACATTTGTTAACCAGAAATACAAATGCCTGATTGGTTGATCCAAGAATGACTTATCACATGAACATCTAATGATTGTATTAAGAAATTATGCGTCAAAAACACTATTTTTGTTGAATTGTCAGTACAATTTGAGTAGAAACGACGCCTCAAGGGGCAAACGCAGTGTACTAAGAGGCCCGTAGTACAAGACCAATTCGGTACTCTATCTTTTGTATTTGAGATTTATTCATTTAAGTTATCACCAGTATTTTGAACAGGTGAGCTAACAAGAAAGAACAAGTTCTAATAAAGCGTAGTAAGCAAGTATTTTGATTGATTATTTCTGGACACGTCCAAAGGCACCTGTCACGAACAAAAAGACACGTAATTCAACTTTGGGCGTATATTTATTCTGCATTAATAAATTAAATATCTCAAAAACGTTTGCTGGTCGGATTTTTAAATCTTTCTTTTAATTGTTTTAGGATTTTTGCGATTGATTATTAATAGACACAATGGTGTTAACTAAATCTTCGCGTACGGCGAGTTAATCCCACATAACGGGCCTTGGAACATTAATAAACCGAAAGCTGCGAGACGTCGGAGACGTACTGACTAAAAACYTGATATAAATATCTTTCACATCAGCGAAATAAGCTATACTGTCATATTTCTTTGCTTTTAATGTTGGTAAAGTGGAATATTAACACATAGTTGTGAATACAATGTGTTGTTACCAGGGGTTACTGATAAAGTCGATAAACGTTCAAAGTCTACCACGTTATATTTTGCTGTATTTATTTTTCAATTTTCCGAGTTTTTACTTAAACAAGATCATTTCCTCTAAGATGAAAGTATTGTATTTCCGGGCTAACGAGATTTTCTCTTCTCAAAGTGAGCTTGATGTAAATTTGTCGTGTTTGTCGTCCGATATGCCGGACCTACGGTGTCTACGTGATACCTATTTTTGGYAGAATTGATAATTTCCTTTATCTAAAACAAGATCATCTTTGTTCTTTGTCATWGTCTCCTGAAGATTCTTCTTATTAACAATGCAAAAAATCGTTATTTTAGGCAATTGTTATCTAACTATTGTAAACGGAATTTCATTTGTACGTAAAGCTCCGTTTTACGGTGAAAATTGCGATAAAATATTACTACTCTTTTAAAAAGTATTACATGTATATCAATAAGGCCTTTTTTTTCTTTTTTTGAGTTCTTTTTGATAGCCACACGGAGCAATAATTTATGAAGCCATGTCAATCAAGGGTTTTAATATTTCTCGAAAACCTTGGCGCATGATATGATGAAGAGTTTATGCAACGTTTTAGATTAAAAAAAWTTTTGTATGTAATTATTTTTCTTGATTTTCTAAATATTTGCATTAGCGGGAGCTAATTAGGTTTTTGGTTGTTTTATTGCTCGATTAATGCTATTGAAAACCACTCTTCTGCCATAGCAAGCTTGCAAAAAAAAATCGATAAAAAGTATGATTTTATTAAAAATGACCGAACAAGCTTAAATACGAGACGCAAATCAGTTATAGAATTTTAAGCATTTTCCATTCGATTGAATTCATGGCCAAGGATTAAAGCACTATTTCCATTTAGTCACGATTTCTGCAGACCTGTATACTCCTTTACATCCGTTTCCGRTGTCGTYACGCATAACGAAATCGATGACGTGMSRATACCGGAAACAAATGGGAAGGAATCATGCTGACATTGTTTTTGTGTTATGCACGTTTATTCCGCATAGACCCCGAACATGACCAGAATCTTAATATTCAACAGGGCGGTGCTAATATAGGTTTCTTGTGCGTTTCCGATTATTGTTTTAAAGTTTCAAGATCATTATAAAAGATAAAAATGATGATAAAAAGAAAGACAAAGTAGTTGTGTACATGTAGTATATCTATCCGACCACATCTTCAAAAGAATTTTCGAGGTGTATTAAATCTCTATAGAGAAGATTTCGCTGTGCAACGATTCGGATCGCGGCACTAACACGATACGGTCACGTAAACTCTCTTGGTAGCGATACCGTCAGTAAAGTCTTGTATTTTATGAACCGTCATACTAAATCCTCTCTATAGTCAATGCTTTTACCTATACGATAACATGCCGCGTCTCCGTCAGATGGTTCCGTCGTGCGTCTTCAAGGAAATGAAAGACTTGGCGAAAACGGTACGAAAACGCATCATTGCGGACAATATCTATGGCAAAACTATGCTCGCAATCGCACGCACCGTATTCGAACTTCTAACAAAACGTTTCGTAGTTGATTTTAAAACTATAATCTTTTTCGTGTAAACACAATTATTTGAGGTTTCGAAACATCCCGCGCATATACTTAACCTATAGTATAGTTGCGTAAAATATTCWTTATTCGATAAAAAAGCATGTTGAAATATCAGAAATTTGTTAAAAAAGACAAAGAAAAATTAAGTAAGTTCTCTGGTTATTCTAATGGGAAATATCGAAATAATGGTGAATATTTCACTTACAAATGAGGCTTAGTCCGAGAACAGGCAACAAGAGATATCGCTACACCGGGGTTTGTATTAGTACCGGAGTCCCGAAAAGGAGCTTTTCTATCGGGTATTATCTTAGGACCGAAGCCTCCGGCCTGTACTTGTCAACTAGACTGATTCCATAAGTCGTAGTTTCCGTTCGTCGGTTTGAATTCTCACTTCAACTAACCTGTCCGGGAGCAGAAAAAAAAAAGCGAACAGACAGACTGGGGGAATCAGTCTACTTGTAAACGAAATCCATAAATATACTATCATCCTGATATATACGATCGCTTAATGCCATTATAAAAATGAACCACAGCCCAATAAAAGATGATGATGTCCGTCACTGGGCGCACAGGACTTGATACGTTATTTTCCATATCGTTTTATAGAACAACTTAAAAGTATTCATTGTGCTTTGTACAATAATTACACCTCTATTGTGTTGYATTTTAATTATTCAGTTTTATAAGATACCATAGACTATCATAAAATCAGATAGTGTCCGCGAATCTTTTCCAATCAGTTATAAGGACACTGCATTTAGCTACACATTTATGAAACAAGTTGAAAACAACCCTACGYAGCAACAAGTCATGGAAGTCGTTCATAGAACTGTTTTCTGTAAATGAAGAYTGCTAAACTAATTTCGTTATATTATTTAATCCTCCAAGGACATTCTTCTTTTGTTTWGTCTATGTTTGAAAACTTTTGCGGCTTTCAATGGCTACTTCAGTATCACTTACGAACTTAGAATAACAACGAGAATTTGATCTTTTCCGAACAATACCGAAGCATTCCAGTATTTAGTTCAATCCTTTCAGAACACACGTAGAGTGAAGATGGAAGTATAGAGTTATGGCGTTCTAGAAAATCCGTGACTTCAACTCGTTTGAATGAAAGCACCAACAAGGTTTTTGTGGATTCAACATCAACATTGCCCGCCATCATGAAGAAAGGTAAGACTGATATCATTGCATTGAAATCTATTTGTAGCAGAATTCACATTCGTATTCGGTTCTAAACTGTCATGTTAATCATTCTTAGAGCGTTTCTCTCGCAAAAAAGTATTCTTGCGGTTTCCCTGTGATTGTAATTTGTGTAAGATGTGGTTTTGTACAGATGTAACCGATAGTTGGTTAATGATATAATCTAAGGATAAAAACTACAACGTATTTTCAAAAGTTTTCAATAAGAAAATTCGATTTACAGGCATAATTACGTACTTCTCTGCAGCTATTTGGATTGGACATGTTGTACAAAAAACAGAGACTTTTGAAACATATAGGATATTGCTTCTAGCAACTGACTTCCAAATGTTTCAGTTATCCGCGTTTCAAATCTGTTCGTAAAAGATCAATAACTTTCTAAAAGTATTTTTTTTATCATTGAACAATTATTTTCATTAAATGTTGTATATATACATATTTTCTTTATTACGCAACTAGATGTATGCTTCAATACATTCGATAAGGCTGTCTGGGGCAATGGCAAATGAGAATTGTGATGTGATATAAGTATTTGATACCCAATTCAAACGATTTTTGTATTTGAATGTTTTGTATTAGTTTTAGATAACTTATCCTTCAGCCTACTCATCGTCAAACTGATCGTGAGGTCTGCMAGGTCTCTACAGACTTAAACGAATAGTTGTCGATAACTTTTGCGGTTCTTTCTATTTGCGAGTCTTCGGATCTGACACTAAATCGACAGCGTTGTCTACGCATGCTCATTGAATATTTCAAAGATGGCGCCCGCCAGAAAAAGTTAGACGAACATTTTATATATTATCAACTACGTACGTTTTGTTGATTACTTTACTGTTTCACTTTTATCAAAACAAAACAAAAAACAAAAAAAAGAACTGCTACACATGATCCACTAAGTGAAGTAAAATTTTCGCGTTTAGTCCCATGTCCGTTAAAGAAGCAAATTGACTGAACGCAAATTGAGTATTTTATACATTTTATTATAAATATAATTACATACGYTACAGTCAAAAATAAAGTGAAATTTTTAAGACGCTGAAACGACCATATTTGTTATMAATTATTTTTTGAATAGAAAGTGGTAGTTAGAACTACCGATTCATCAAAGTTACATTTTGAATTTATCCTGATCATGACATTGGACTCTAAGTGTTCATGCATCCTTCAATGCATATTTTCTTTTTTTTGTTTATATTTTCCAGAATACTGGTCCATTATCGTAGTTTTCTTGCCATTTCTTAAACAAGAAAGGCACAAAACATTCCTCGTACTCTTTTGTTCGTTGATTGGCTATCTTGAACACACATATAGGTTGTAAAGCTTCTCTTGCTGTAAACATAAGTCTTGGACTGTACCAATCGTCTGAAACACTCTCGTTAGTTGTTACTATATACGGCTTAAACATTTCTTCGCTGCTAKTTTGTCTTGTTAACTGAATCACGTCGATTGGCTGTAAAGCTTCTCTTGAGCCTGCGAACAACGTYCTGCAGTTTGTTTTCAACGTCTTACTTTTACGTTGTCTTCTTTTGGTCATAAGTTTGGAAAACAGTTCCTTTGGCGATAAGAATTCTGTCGAAACAATGTTGAAGTTTTAATGTAATGCAACGTGGAAATTTTGTGGAAGTGATAATCAATAGTGTTTAACAATATTTCTGATACTTACTCATTGTACTTGGATATGGGTTGGTTGTGAATCTTTCGATTTTAATCAATTAAGTTATTTGCGTTTAACTGTCTTTGTATGGCTTACAAGATTCGCTGCGACCCTTTCTACTCTTTCTGACGTAACTGAGCGAGCTCAAATGTTTTTCTTGCGCGCGCGCAAAACATCCCTCGTCCGATCCTCCATTTAAAAGGTGGCGTGGTACAAGCAACAATGTCACTTACGACTTACTTTGCACCATATGAAACGATTCAAGTTGAAAGCTGCATTGTCTCTACAAACTTATTTTTGCACAGAAAAAATACTTTCCTTTATTGTGTTGTAGTATGGACTGCGCAATACGACGCCTGCGCGCGCTAAATGGTCATCTTTCTCTGAGACAAGTTAATTTTCTTTGCAGCGATCTCAATTAATATGCGGAATATCAAGAACGTTTGCTGCAAATATTAGAAACGGTCGATCTACTTGAGAAACCAGACGTTTTCAGCTTAACCGCAGCGACTTGTCCCTTTGCGACACTTTTTGCACATATACAACAATGCAACAATAATTAATACTTTGAATCATTTCCCCTTAGGGCTTTACCTGGTGAATCTCAACAATGCTGTTTTCACAGTATGTTATTTGKTTAGTGCCTTTTCAATTTCTGTCACACAACAAACGACTTCCAATCAAATTCCTATCTCGTCATCTGTTTATTCATCACGGTCACAACTGATTGAAGAATTATTACAAACTGTTGTATGGAATTCTACTCCAAAGCAAGAAGAAGGCACTCAATATTTTGCAAGCACCATTCCAATATCACAATTTTCAGCCSAAAGCGTTGAAGTAAAAGATGTTATAACTAGAACAACTTCTATAAACATATCGTTAACAACACTTAGTGATATTTTCTCACAGAGCTTACCTTATGAAAGCGTTACTTTATCTACTACAMGTACTGCAATAACGAGTCAGTCCAGTAAACAAACTCCACTAGACACATATATGCCGACAATGACTGCGGCACCAACAAGTTATTCTACACAGGAGGTCACTCGGTCACCTATTAATATCGAGCCTACACCTAATAGTATATATCCAGGCTCATCTACACANGGCATCGTCCAGTCATTCTGTTGATGTCATTGCGTCACCTACAAGTATTCCAGCCAACACAATCATGGCATCGTCCAGTCATTCTGTTGATGTCATTGCGTCACCTACAAGTATTCCAGCCACCACAATCATGGCATCGTCCAGTCATTCTGTTGATGTCATTGCGTCAACTACAAGTATTCCAACCACCACAATCATGGCATCAACCAATTCTAGTTTTGATGTTGCTGCATCTCCTGATAATATTCCATTGTCCACAAGCATGGAATCATTCAGAACTTCCGTTGTTGTTGTTGCGTTACCTACAAGTATTGCAACCTCAACAAACATGTCATCGTCTAGTTCTTTTGTTGCGGTTATTGCATTCCCTGCAAGTATTCTACCCTCCACAAGCATGGTATCTGCCAGCTCTACTGTTGCTGCTGTTGTATCTCCAAGAATTATTAAACCCTCCACAAGAATGGCATCGTCCAGTTATTTTGTTGCTGTTGTTGCATCGCTTCTAAGTATTCCATTCTACTCCATAAGCATGGCATCTTACAGCTCTTCTGTTGAAGACATTGAATCGCTTACTAGTATGCCAACTTCCTCAAGAATTGCTTCAACCAGTTCTACTGTTGTTGTTGTATCTTCTAAAATTATTCAACCCTCCGCAAGCATGACATCGTACAATTCTTATATTGAGGACATTGAATCGCCTACAAGTATGCCACGGTCGACAACCATGGCATCAACCACTTCTACTGTTGCTGTTGTTCTGTCACCTGCAAGTGTTCCACTTACCACAAGCATGACACCGTCGATCTCTTCTATTGCTGGTGTTGCATCACCAGCAGGTATTTCATACACTCCAAGCATGACATCAACCAGTTCTACTACTGCTGTTGTTACATCTCCTGCACGTTTTCCATCCTCCACAGGCATGGCATCGTCCATTATTTCTGTTCCCGTTGTAGCATCACCTACAACAAGAATTCCATCTTTCAGTCCTTCGGTAACTGTTTTTGCGTCACCAACAATTATAGCATCTACCACAAGCATGGCATCGTCAATTTCTTCGCTTGCTGCTGTTGCATCGCCTACAAGTATTGCGTCCACCACGAGCTTAGCATCTTTCATTCCTTCGGTTGATGTTGTTTCATCACCTACAATTATTGCACTCTCCAAAACGATGGATGTCATTGCGTCACCTAC